GTTGTGCGATCTATCGAAGGCATTTGATTGTGTTTCGCATGATATTCTGCTTAAGAAACTTTCCTATTATGGTATCCGCGGACTGTCCCTTAAATTCTTTGAATCCTATTTGCACAATAGATCACAGTGTGTATCATTACATGGGATTAAATCGAATGTGAAATCTGTCAAACATGGTGTGCCCCAGGGTTCTGTACTGGGACCAATCTTGTTTATACCATATATAAATGACCTATACTACCATATACTTCCTAAAAAATGTTTTCTTTTTGCGGATGATACCACTTTGGTGGACTTTCACGGTAGTGCTAATGATTTGAGTGTTTCTGCCAACGCCACCATGAAGTCTGCAAGTAACTGGTTTGTTTCAAATAGACTTCTCCTTAATGAGGCTAAAAATCAAAATCTTATGATTTCCACAAATACGTATTTAACCTCGGGTAAAAGTGTTAAGCTACTGGGGATTCATATAGACGACAGATTGAACTGGTCATGTCATGTTGACAAACTGGTCAAGAAATTATAAAGTGTAATATTCATGATTCGTAGACTGAAGGATTTCGCCGGTATCAGAGCGGTCAAATCTTCGTACTCCGGACTCTTCCATAGTCACATGGTATATGGCATAGTGTGGTGGGGGGATTCTTGTCATTCCAAAAAAATTTTTATATTGCAAAAAAGAGTTATAAGTCTAATATCTAATGCCAACTTCAAAGATCATTGTCGCCCAGTTTTCATTCATCTCAAAATTATGCCGCTTCCTACAGCTTTTGTATATGAAACATTGATTGAAATTCATAAAAATAAATCAAAATACATTTTACAATCACAACAACATGAATATCCTGCAAGATCAGGAAATCTGATAAGAACTGAGAGATTCAGACTGAGCACCTCACAAAATAATTCATTGAATTTGAAATTCTATAATAAATTACCATGTCACATAAAACAACTCAGTTTCTATTGTTTCAAGCAAAAACTGAAATAATTGTTTCTGAATCACTATTTTTATTCTACAGATGAATCCATGTTATACAACATAGATAATTCATGTGACTTTGAGTGAGTAAAAATTGTTCTCATTTTTAACATTAGTTGATTGATTGTTTTTATTATTATGTACACTGTTCTGTTATACACTCATTGTGATAGTTTTATTTGTATACATGACGTCATATGCATTAATTTCATTATTCCAAATTTCAGTTTTTTGAGTTGACCCGCTCAAAAAATAAAAGGGGGGCATTGAAGAAATGCACTGTATTCATTAATATTGTCTTCATTACATAATTTGTATGAATGAAATATTTTTTATCTATTTGTGTATTGACGAACCTTACATATTTTTTATGACAGAAAAGGTATAAACGAATTGAATTGAATCGAATATTGTCTCAGGTAGATAGATAGATAGATAGATAGAGCCCCAAAGGAAATATCAATAGTAGACAAATCTGGTGAACAAGAAGACAAATCCTGTGAACGAGCAGGACATTCCAACGGACCACGCCTACCAATCCACATGCCTTTTATATCTGTCTCAACCAATCTCTTACCAGCTATAAAATGTGGGGGCACACCATTTTGCTGGAAAATGTGTTGAACTTTTGTTTCAAAAGTTAGTCATTACTAATGAGAAGCTTGCTTTCTTTCTTTCGTTCATCTACTTTGACAAATGCATCAAAAAAATAATGTAAACACTGATGTCGCTTCTTGCCTCTGTTGATATACTTATACAACCTCTCTGAGGTTGGCTTGATATATACCCCGGTCCTCTTCGAGTCTTGTACATTTTGCCTCGTTAAAGGTCGTTCTCGCTGTCTTCATGAGATGTTCCAATTCAGGGCACCACCATGTGTTGGTTGTGCCATGTGTTTGAACCATCCTCATCGGACAGGATTCCTTATGCAATGGCAATGTCTATTTTGTTGTGGATAGATACCGTGTACCTTTCCAGTTCTTCTGGAACAGTTCCTCAAAGAGTTCAAAAAAGTCTGCAGACGAAAGCAAAGAGAAGCCTGGAGAGCCTATTGTGAAGCAGTCGAAGACTTCCCACTTCTTTAGCTTCTAGGCTACAGAAGGCACTCTCAAATGACCACCATAAGAGTATCGGCATCCTGACGATAGAAAATGGCGGCTTTGCCACCAACCTCCAGGAAAGTGCTAAGATTCTTATGGAAACTCACTTCCCAGGTTCTGTCTTTCCTGAAACGACGAACTGGACGGATGTACCAACAACACCCTCACAATACGACTGGCAATCTGCTAGTACAGTATTTGATGAGGACAAAATAAGATGGGCTATATCGGGCTTTTCCTCCTTCAAGTCACCAGGACCTAACGGTATAAGACCAGCCCTACTTCAGTGGGGACTGGACACTCTTATGCCGCACTTGGTTGGAATATTCAGAGCCTCTCTAGCTCTGAGGTATATTCCCAGTAAGTGGAGAGAAGTAAGAGTAGTATTTATACCCAAACCAGGTAGGATGGACTACACCCTACCAAAAGCATTCCGACCAATTAGTCTCACATCGTTTTTCTTAAAAACCATG